ACCCACACCCACACCCCACACCCACACCCACACCCACACCCACACCCACACCCTTCTCACCTATCTATTCTTACTCTATTGTTCTTCTATGTGTTCTCTCCTTGGCCTCATCATCTTTTTATTCTTACATTATTCTCGCCTTGGCCTCATCTTCTTTCTTTTCATCTTCTCTTATTCTACGCGTGTATTTAAACGTGTGCTTTATATGTAAGCGGTACGATTGTATGATATGAAGGAATAGAATAAAGTGTACCTCCATCCACACTAATATCCCTTCTATCATTTTTCGTCACACCTATCAGCTGAGGGAAAAATCTCCAGAAAAGCATGTACCAGAAAAAGTAATAGCCGAAATGGCAAAAATTATGTCGAGGTGATTCGAGTTCGGAGAGTCTCATTTCAGGTACTTTCTCTATTTTTAAATAATAGGCGCTTTGAAACGAAAATAATTGATAAATAATTCTTAAAAACGAAAACGAAAAACAGATTTTTTTTGTTTTTAAAGACGATTATTTTGAAACTTTTAATACGTCGTGTGTTAGTTTCTAGTTTACTCGAAATTATATTTATCTAAACAAATTTTATTAACGTTTACGAATTTATTGTTCGTTCACTGGAATGAAATTTGTCTTTGAGCTATCTTAAACTTTTCATTGTACATGCTATTTGATTGGATAAATTCGTTTTTTTTGAACGAATGTAAAAGACATGTCGATATAATTAAATAACGCTATCACTCCATCATTTAATTATCTATGTGATTCATCATGCTTTCGTAAGCAAATATGTATTTCATCCTTTTCTCCAAGAAAATAACCGTTGGATATCTTGTTTTTTTCGTAGAAGTACTAAGAATACAGTCAATTACTTAGTGTGATAGAAACAAATATAAATTAGCGTGAATAAGAACGGCTACGCAAATCAATAGATTTCTTCCACATTGTTAACGCTTGTAAATGATCTCCAAGAAGAAGATAGAGAAATGCAATATTATCAAATAACGTCGGCAACTGTCGAGCAAAACGGTCCCAGGATAGTGACTCTTTTAGAAGTGAATTTTTTGCCTCTAAAAGGTTCGTCAGAGCTCTCGAAAATTCACCTTTTTTCAAAAGACATAAACCAATTGTATATAATAAACCACCACGTTGTTTTGCCGTAAGGCTTCTATTATTCCTTAGTTCACTTTGACATTTTAACAATGTGTCATGGTCTAATGTTGATGTTAATATATGATACTGATCGTCATCGATTTCCTTGGCTTGTTTTTTATAGATTAAAGCTGCTTCAGAATTTCCCTTTTTCTCAAGTATACCGATGATACTTTGATAGATATTCGGTAACGAAGGAGTATCTCGATAATTTGCAATTTCTAATGCTTCTTGATAACATGATAGCGCGATGTCCTCATTCTCAGTTTTATTCCAAACATCACCGATGTGATTGTAAAGTTCACTTGTTAATAAATCACTTTCAGTTAAGAATGACAATACAATTCCATAATAAATAAAAGCATTATCGTATTCAGATAAATGAAAATAAAGATAACCAATGATCATATAAAGAACTTTGAATTCAGGACTATTCATGGAAATCTTTCCCACCGAAATAGCTGTTTCATAAAAGTGAATCGCTTTCTTATAAAGACCTAAATTACTTAAGGAAAAAGCGATATAAATATATATCATAGTTGTTGGATTATTCTCCAATGAAAATGTTTGTTCTGTTAATATCGAGTAATATCGATCAATCATATTAAAATCATCTGTTCTCATAAATAAATCGAGGCGAATATCGGGTGTAGCGATGTATTGTTGAAAAGAAGGCGCCAGTTTTTCAATATGTTTCGATATTTCATTATGTAAAGTCAATTTTATGAACCATGTTGAGTCAGTTTCGTTTTCAACAGAATCAATAGAGAAAATAGTTCCAGGAAAGAATAAAATTTCTTCTTCTTCTGGCATCGAGCTCAAACGAGAAATATCGAGAAATTGTTTCGACGTCTGAGGTGTTTGACTTTGTATATTAATTCGAAAAATAACAGCGTTTGTTGCTTCAAAAATAAAACCACGTGCAACGTCTGCGTTACGTGCTGTTGACATAAATGTATTCATTGAAATTAAATGTCCAACATTGGATTTCAATGTTCGGAGAGTGTTTTCGTTAAGAAGTTGCCCTCGATAGACGCATGAAAGATTTTCATGTTGTTCTTTGGATAAATCTTGAAATTTTCGATGTAATAGAATAATACAATATCGAAATTTGTGAATCAATTCAATATTCCGTGTACGAAGGGCTTTATTCAAAAGTCGATATAAAAACGAATCTTTCGTATACCATTTGAATATATCCTCATTTGAACAATTCTGATCAAAATCATTGATTTTTTGGAGTTCTATCGGATCGTTTTGATATTCCGATCGGCATTGTGTTAGCATCTCTTCTTTCAATTCTTCCAGAGATACATTTGAAGGTTTCAGCAAAAAATGAAAAAAGATCTGATCCCACAAGAAGGGTAAGGTGAATCCATGTAGACTCGTTAGGGATTGTTCCATTTTGTTTTCTTTGATTGAAGAAAAACTAATTGGTAATTCGTTTCTCTGTGAGAATACTAACATATCTTTCGATATTCTATCGATTAAGTCATCAATATCTTCGAATATATCAATTAATTTTCTATGATTTTCTTTTTCATATCGATTATTTTCATTTTGGTTTCCGAAGACATAAATGGCTCGAATTTGAACTAGACTTTCAAAGTCTACTAACGATTCGAAATCTGTCAGTATAAGAAGAGTGTTCCCTTCACTTTTCAATCCGCTTATGTAAGCGAGAACAGCTTCATTGGAATCAAATCTAGTTAAATAATCGCCAAATTTGTCTAACTCACTTGGATGCTTATTAAAAGAAGTCCAAACAACAGTAAATCCATCGGGATTTTGTACGAAATTTGATTTTGTCGATGAAAATTTCGAGTTCTTCATTTTTTTTCCTTAAACGAGAAGAAATACTTTGATTATGAAGAAGTTTGACTCTGTCACAACTGTTTAATAGCAGCTAGAAAAGATTTCACTTTGAAGACAAATACCAATTTCATTTTGCTTCAGAAATAATTGGTTTTCTATTATGATCGTGTTAGTTAAGTTTTTCCGAATAGTTTTTCGTTGGACTTCGCTTTCAAGTTCAGATAAAACAGAAAGTGCTAAAAGTATCACGAATTGACTGTCAGTCACCCATAATATTATCTCTTTCTCTATTGCATCATCTTTATGTATCGTCATCGTTTAGTGATATCTTCATTTAATGTTCTCCTTGCATCATCGATTCTGAGACTATATATAGGAGATATTCTGACAATAAAGATATCAATATAGATCACCTTATTCATCCGATCATTCAGGTTAGACACCTGATGGGAGTCTGACAGTTCTTCTTTTCTTTACAAAAAGATATTCGAATAACAATCGGTACAAATAAATGATATTTCTTCTGGTTTTGTTTATCACATTGGAATCGGAATTTTCGAAAGTCATTCATGCATATACTGTGTTAATACGAATAAACGATGATCAAATATTGTAAAGATATTTGAATAAAGCCAATTAAAGATGAATTTATCGGAGAATTGAGATTTAGCGTGGAAAAGATTTAAATTTTCATCAAAAATAACCTTCGAAAAAATACAATCGATTTTATTCGCATTTTTTTGTAGAATTTCTGAGTGCTCTGTGGTAAATATTTTCAACACAATCATTATAGGTCTTCTTCGAATCTAATACTGGGTATTCATTCAAGTTTGTATAGGTGTCATTTTATTTTAAGGAGAAGATTCGTCGATGTTTTGAATTCTTTTGAGATTGAGCTGTGCAACGATTTCTTCTAGTAAATTTAAGTTGAGAAGATGCTTTTCAGATAAATCAAGTAATTCTTGAAGATTTTTTGTCTGTTTATGTCTATTCTCTCTCCTGCAAGAAGATTGATATTCTGAACTATTATAAAAGACTTAACAACTTCATCCATAATACTGCTCAGTGTCACTCAAATGGATAAATCTCGCTTCTTCCTTTTTTTAATCAGTTATAGGTTAAAAGTATCACCTTTTATACTCAAAAGGCCTATCTTTTGAAGACTCTTTATTTATCCTGTTTGTATAAATAGAGGTGTTAGCCGATCATTTGATCGGCGGCGGCGGCGAGGAGTTCTCGTCGAGCAGGTCATTTTCGGCGGCGGCGGCAAAATTTTTCCTATGTTATTTCACAGGGTCTTTCGTAGATCCCTACCGTTAAGACAAACATTAGACGTTTTGTTCTCACAGAATTGTACCGCTGTTTTCCTCTTAGCACGCTCATGTCTTTTTATGGAAACATTTTTCCACTAGATGTTACTTTATTTTCATTAATTCAAAAAATTCACATTGTCCCATCATAAAATAACTTCAAACCACACAACAAGAACTCATGATATAAGCCGAAATGGCAATAATGTGACTATCCATCTAAAATACAAATTAAATTCAAACATGATAGCTTATGGCTGGCACTTTATCTTTACTTTACCAAATAGAGTAAAGTATTAGAACTTTACTTTACCCGATCAAGTAAAGTTAAATACTTTACTTGATCGGATAAAATAAAGTTAAATACTTTACTTGATCCGATAAAATAAAGTTAAATACGTTACTCAAAAAGTAAAGTAAAGTAAAGTGAAAAAAAATGAAGCTGTATGTTTTAAATTTTTTGGCAGTTTCTTAGTTCAGGATCGTGTAGAAATAATCTTAAAATGCATCAAAGTTTATCCAATATCGTTTCGTCTTAAAATTAGTGTGAAAAAAATAAGTAAAGCCGAAAAATGTCGATTTTTTATGAATACATGAAAAATATTGTTTGGTTAACTTTATCTCACTTTATTATCCACATTCAAACTATAGTATTTTACTTTACTCTACTTTACTTTACTTTACTTTTTCAAAGTAAAATAAAGATAATATGCCATCTCTATGGTAGCTCGAATTAGATCATAAGTGAAACGAACATTGAAATTAGAATTTGAATCCAAATTCAAATCGATGCTTTTCTGTGAGTGGAGAAAAAGAGCAAGATTTGTTTTCATTGATTATTTGAATTCAAATTGAAACTAAATATTTTTGTTTTTTCTAAACTGGCAGGAGAGTGTCGATTGGAATTCGAATTCGAATCGTAATGTTAGTTACATTTATATTCGAACTCAAACTAGACAGTTAGTCGAAACTGCATACTGAATAAGTCAAGAATCGCGAAACGGAGAAAATAATAGCGATGAATCTATTGTGCATGAAGGAATAAGGCAAATGAAAACCTAATAAATATGGTAGCGTCACAAAATCATAAGGAGACATATTTGCTTATCAGCTCGGTTTTCAGATCATATGTCATCCAAGAAAAAATGCACTAATTCCAATTTTTTAAAAATTCTGTTGGTTTCAGCAATCTCTAATTGTCACATAGATTAAACTTGAGATATTACTGACTATTATCAACCAGTGATAATTTAGAAAAAGAGGAAGCTTGAACTGTGACCTTTCACTCGATCGGCGGCGGCGACGGAAAAGTCCTCGTCGAGACGTTCTATTCGACGGCGGCGGCGAAAAATCGGCGGCTAACACCTCTATGTATAAACCAGATTGGAACTCTCTATATTGTTCTCAACAGAAAATGTTTCTTACCCTTTATGTCAAAAACTCTGTGAACTGATCCATTGTAAAATTCATTTCCAATAGGTAAAAGCCGTGAAAAAATTTATCTTCTTTCTTTTTACATTTGAAATCTCAGGTAAACATTGAACACTAACTGCATCATTTCTTTCATCATCTATACTTCTTTATCAAAAGTTTTATCATATGTTTTTCTGGATCTAATTTTTTGAAGAACACTCTTCTCACTTTTAATATCGGCTGTTCTGAAATCACAGCTTATTTTCCCTATACTCTTCTCTAGAACTCATCTTTGTTTAATAATCTTACTACTTAATTAAAATAATTAAAATATTTCTTATGTTATAAGCAAGAGGGAAAAAGCTCATTTCGAGCCATTCAAATGACTGCGGATGAATGGGGATGGCTGCGAATGGCTTGAAATAGGGGTGGATAAGCTTTTCTACATAGAAAAATACCGTGCATAGTGTACGGCTGGTTTTTGTATGACCTTTAACCTTTGATCTTTGACCCAATAACAGACACATAGACAGGCGACATCATGTATATAGATGGTTTATTCCAGAGCTGCCACCTTTTCTGCTTTTTTTCTGTCGTTTCTGCTTTTTGAAGATTTTTCTGCTTTTTTTAATATCGTGTTATTTATATTTTTAACCAAGATTTTTTTATCTAGAAGTTTTTTTTTCATAATTATAGAAAAATCCTTATCAATAGATATTGATAGTCTTGTTTTATTCTAATTCTTTTAATTTTACAAAAATGATCTTTATTTTTTACTGGCTACAAATAAATAGCAATGTATATTTTTGGTTTTCTAATCTTTTCTCGATTTATGTTTCTCTTTCTATTGTATTTTGTATTAGCCATCTATTCCATACAAACCAACATATACAGTCGAGTCCACTTATAAGAGCTTCGGATAAAGGAGCGGTCCGCTTTTAAGAGCCGTTTTCCAATTCCCCGTTTTTTTCTCCTGTGTTTTACGTGCTGGCAAAGTCCGCTTATGAGAGCTTCGGATAAAGGAGCGGTTCGCTTATAAGAGCTTTGTTTTGGCGCTTTTTTGCGATTTGAGCCCGCATAAAAGAGCCATATTGTATGTTCTTGTTCTTTTCTTTTTCTATTCATCTGTTGCACGTATGCTCTTTTTCGTCTTACTCACTTGTCTTAACTGACGTCTTTGTTGAGTAAGAAGAACCATTGTCTTTTTCTGTCTATTATTCATTTTCTAAACAGACAGACGAAGCTTCTCCACTTTTTCTCTAGTCCGCCTATTGTCTCTCTCCTATGTATATATACTTGCTGTTTCTTCAATAGAGGGATCAGATATTCATCCATCCAAACTAAATCGACAAGGAATGGCCGATTTCGAAGAAGAAGACGAAGAAGAAGCCGGAATTTCTTATGAATCGATACCAGGTGTCTCTC